ATCCCCATGAGAAAAATAGCAGCTCTCTAATAAAACTTTAAAGACCATGATACTCCTATAAGAAGTTCTTGCTGTGAAAACCAGAGAGACAAAACACTCTTGGGATTAAAAAAAAAATGTAGACTTTAGAGTCAAAGGGATTGGAATTTACCCCCAGACTGGTTCCTCACCTTACTATATGACATTCGGAGAACTAAGCTGTGATTTCTGAATCTCAGTATTCTCATCTACTAAGCCGGAACAGAGAAGCCCTCTCTTAGCATTACTGTAAGGAGTATGTGAGTTTTGTATTCACAAAAAAATTGGGCAAAATCTTTTGCATTAGTATGCGAAGTGTGTTCTCAGCCTTTGCCTATTCTCTTTGGAGACTAGTTTTCTTAATGCAATTTCCTAAACATCACAGGGTTTTTTTAAGTGCTTCTGTTAAAGACATTTCCCCTTCTGGCCCACAGGTAAAGTGGAAAGAATCCTAGAAAGAGAATCAGGACCCAGGTACAGTTCCATTCCTATGCACCAGTGAGATCCTCGTGGGGCCTGTCTCCTGGTCTGTACCATGAGGCTGCCTGCCACACCCCTGGGCCAGGATGAGTATGAGAATTCAATGAAATAATGTATAAGAAAGCAATTTGAAAAGGCTCAAGTGCCCTCAGATGAAGGGAAAGGCCATCATTGGGGTGCAGTTCATAGATGGGTATCTACTTATGGAGACCCCAAGCAGTGGAGATTGGGCTGTGTATGAGCACGCCAGGGAAAAGAAACCCCACAAAGACAGAATGAAAACAACTGCAGCAGAGAGGCTCAGGAAATTCAGCACACAGTCCAAGTTCAATGGTCTTGGTGGATGTGGTCTCTAATGAGACAGAGATAAAGAACGCTGTAAGCGTATTAGTAGCAATTGCTTAGATTCTGTCTGAAGCTAACAATACCTCCAGAGGGGTCTGCATGGAGTCTATATGTCAGCAAGGAAGCAAATCCATATTCAAGGCAGAAAGAGAGGGACTGCACTGTGGGATGGAATCCTCGAATCTCCAGAATAAAAAAAAAAGTGAGGATAGCCATCATGGTCACCTTAGCCTCCCTACTCTGTTCTATTATCACCACCACCAATAATGACTATCATTATTAGACACTTTCATTTCCAAGTTCTGTTTTCCAGGCATTGGGCTAAGTGCTGTATGGAGCACCTATCCCTAAATCATTACCACATCCTATGCCTGCAACAAACACTATTACTATGTCAACTTTACAGATTAGCAAATAGCTACTGCAATTATCAATTGAAGAAGCTGTCATTGCTGCAGATCCTCAGTCTATATATGAGGCAAGAGTCTTCCCATCTCTTAGAAAAGGATTTCCTTGTATGTGCATTAATCAAAATTTCATTTTTCACATCCAACAAAACACAGAGAAAGCTGCAACAGCAGGCAAAGAGGAGAAAGTCACTCATAAACCTTGAAGTGCTTAGGGCTCAAGAGTTCCGATCTACAATCTTCTTTGTAGCAAACAACTTGGCCTTAACATGTCTCATTTTATAACATGGAGGGAAATTACATGGACTAATGTTAGGGTCAAGTAAGGGTGAGGGACAGGATGGCTGGACCAATTGGAATGATTTAAGATAACTTGACATTGGTACAGAGGCAATGACATCACTTCCTGCTTCTTATTCTGTACAGAAGGGAGACAAAAAGACTTCTCAGCCATCACCCAAAAAAAAAGAAAAAGCCGCCAAGCCAGGGCTTGGCAATTAGTGTTGGAGTAAGTGATCATCTTGTGATTGCTCAGCTGGGGCCTGAAGACTTGTAAATGCATTTTAGAAGACAGAAATAGAAGATGTTGTGAGAGAGCAGTGAAACCTGGCCCATTTGCCAGGAGAAAATGTCCCAAAGCTGCCGGGAAATTCACTCAGTCAGGATTTGGGGTGTGTCTTCAAAAATGGAGAAGGTTAATAAATAAAACCCATGGATGAAGCCAGGGCATGTACCTCACCCTATGGAGTCTCCTTTCTGCGATCATCAGCTTCTCTGGAGTCCCATGGTATCAGTCAGAGTGCTTCCACTGGGTGCTGCCTCCCAGGCACAGCCAGACCCAAGTTAGGGTTGGACTCTGATGACCAGCACTTCTCAAAGACTCCTGGAGCCACACAGCAAGTACTTGGGCAAGAGCAGCCCACATGGCTAGGGAAAACAGGGCCTAAAGTCTGTGCTATCATCAGGCCCTACTCCTACCAGATCCAACCCCAGTGTCTTGCAGATCTTGCAAGTCCTACCAGCCTTTGCCACAGCCTCTTCCAGGGATATCAAGGGCAGGCCAAAGACATGTCCTAGCAAACCACTTCTGAGACAGCTGTAGCCCACGATGCACCCCCTACCCCCACTTTGCTGGCCCATACAAATATGAGGGCACTCAAGTTTTCTCCATCTCCTTGAAAGCTGGAGGTGGCATGATGCTCTCGGAGGTCCTGGGGCATGAGCATCTGTCCTTATCCTTGAAAGGGACAGAGCTTCTCCCATATTAACAGCTTCCCTCCTCAAACTGTCCTACACCAGAAATTAGCACTCTGCCCATTGAGTGATTTTGTTTGGTCTGTGAAGGGTTTTGTTTTCAGTTACTAGCATTTAAAACTTGAGTGATTTTACAGGCTCTTCTGCTTATCTTAGAAAAAGCAAGTCTGGCAATACTGTCCCCACTGCCACATGGCAGCAGTCAGCTGGAGTTTTTCTAGCTGTACCTTCAGAAGGGACATGTGGTCTTCATCCTCCACTGTCCTCACCTGGTCTGCCCTGGGCATGTGGCTTGTGACCTTTGTATGAGTTACTATGAAAGGGGAGCCTTCTCAGATGTCCAAAGTGTGCTCTCTCTCTCTCTCTCTCTCTCTCTCTATATATA